AGTCTTTTCCAGCCCGTGATTTCTGTACATGCACTGGGGACACACTCATTAGCGCCTGTGCCCAAGCCACACAAAGAGATGCATCGTGTCACAGACACGGAAGTCAGAATTCTTTGACACCTTGATTTAAAACAATGAAATCTTTTTTTTTTTTTTCCCCAGACTCAAAGCCTTGCTTTTAGGCGCCCTGCCAGTAGGCAGGAAAACAACTGTTTTCCTTCAGAGGCCCCAATTCCCATTGTGTAACTTAGAACCTGGGGAAAAAATGCAAAACAATAAACCATCTGCAAGGCTTTCAGACAGTGCAATTTACAAGAAGAGCTTTTACATCCTAGCAGAACTCTGCATTAAGTCAGGATTAATTAATTGCCACATTAAAGGAAAGCACCTTTAGCATTTCAGTGACATAATCATATGCAATTACGATCATACGAAGGAAGACTTTATAATTAATGATGTCTCCACTTCCTGAAATGTGTAATCCTTATGTCTTGAATTCCAAAGAGGCTGGCAGACGGAAGGGACTAAATATAGATCAGAAACGAATATTTAAATCAGTTGTTAATTCACCTCTCAACGTGAACAGTCCAACCAGAACAAAAGCTTACTATTATTATGACTCTTAGTCTACGAGACTAAATATTCAGCAACAAAAGATTCAAATAGAAATGGTCCACAATTACAAGCCTGAAGTGGCTATCCCTAAGTAGCAATAATTTTGCCCTAACAGGCACCATTAAGTGTTTTTCCAGAAATGCATTAAAACTCACCCCAACTGTCCTGGGTTTGGCAACTGTGCTACATTATCACTTAACAAACCACCCCGCTTCATCTCTGTGACTTAAAAATGAAAATGACCCTTCTTGTAAGTAGGGAGTTTCCTGTGAAGTTTCGAACATGGTACCAAATGTTCTAAGGACTTCATATTCAGTGGCTCAGTCTGTCTTCACAGCAATCCTGAGGTCGGTACTACGATTATTCCCATTTTATAAATGAAGACATGGAGGCACCCATTTGTTAAATAACTTGCCCAAGCTACCAAAGCAACCAACCAACCAACCAACCAACCAAGCCAAATCTTCGCAATGATTCCAACACAACGCACAACAACCCTAGCTACCCACAGAAGGCCCATTTGAGTGAACTGCAAACCAGACCCTGTACACAGACTTTCTAGATTTTAACATTCAACCTGTTACTCAAAGGCCCAAACTTCAGGGAAGCCCCAGGACCTCCCTACATCTAATTTATACTGTTAGTGAAGCTCTTCAACAACTACAGATGGAAATGCAGAGGGAACAAAATTTGACCTACAATAACATCTCACCAGCTTCCAGGAAAAAAAAAAAAAGTCCCTCTAGCATTGTTTTCCTGAAAAGAATTACTGCCCAAATCGCCTCTGTTTCATTTTTCTAATTTGATTCACAGCACAATGTGTTTGTTTTCATCAATGAGCTATGACGTTGGCACCCACCCTCCCACCCAAGACAGCCTCCTGAAAGGTTTACCTTGTCATAATAGTATCGCAGGGCTCTGCTCAGTTTATCATAGTTCATATTTGTTTTGTTTTTTCTGAGACCCCACAGCTTGGCCACTTCCTCTGCTTTGAGGAGCTTGAATTCACCATCAT